GACCAGTAATACGTTTATCTTATTATGGCTAACTACAGCAAAATGTTCGAGCACAAACACACTCTGGCAGTCCTGAGAGAATTTAAAAAAATAAGTTAGTTCTAATTTACTTTAAGTACTTAAATACAAATATGTTCCGATTAACTAACATGAATACTATGAACTATGAACACTATGAACTAAAATATGGCATTTTAGATGCTTAAGTTAGATTGTTTATATGGCAAAATGTTTTTCAGCAGAAGACAAATGCCTTCATGAAGGAGTGTCAAAGCGAAATTGATATGCATTAAAACTACACCGCCCAAAAGATATTAATTCCACTTTTGAGCATAATTTGCTAATGAAGTAATTAATGAGATAATTTTCAAAATTGCACTAAGCGAAAAATTATCATTTATAATTATTATCACTGTTTATTTTTACCAATAATATAAATATTTACTAAAAATTTAAGATGAATATGGGTTTAAAATTAGCCAAATAAGCAAGTTAGACTGACGCAGATTGTGAATAAAACACTTTTTGATTGGAGAGCATTCGGACATAGGATCCTGTTCTTCAGGAAGTAGAAAATATTTTTAAAGGTTGGAGGAGCATGACACATCTGTCGAGGAAAATAGTAATGAAACATTAAAAATTTAAGTTATCAGCATTTTGAAAGCATTGCGAAAAAATAGACTGAAATTAATATTATGAGCTAAAGACGTTTTTGTAAATATGAAAGGTTTTAAGAAAATCCAGTTCACTGAGCACCGCCTGAGATAACCACTGACCTGACTTTGTTGTAAAAGTCTTACAGTGTTGATAGTCATCCTGGCAGAAGGGATTCTTTCCGTATAAAAATATAAATATAAATATTATATGGGCATGCAAGGCCTGTGTATAAGCATAGATATGTTAATTACAAACATTTTCTTGTACAAGTTACATATGATAGATACATAAAAAATCCAATTCACTATCTGAAGATGTTTTATGAATGATTTTCGCAGAAGCAAAATAAAAATATAATTAAGTGATTAACTATTAATTTTTTTTTTTTTTTTTTTTAATTCGTGCTCCTCGACACAAAATAATTTTTTTTTATTTTATGAAAGATAAGGAATAGCTTTCCCAATAATTAAAATCAAAGCTCTCCTCCGATTTACGGTTGTTAAATTTCATAGTTAGTTATGTATATTAGACAAACTATTATCAATAAATTTCATAGTTAGAGCATCTATAACTAGCACGCATCATGATTCTACTCAATCATGATGTTTATTTGGCATAGGTGTACAGAACGAGTCAGAAATACCCTACATATTTGATCTCATTAGCAGACCAGAAAGTCAGATACAGAAGCTGCTTACGGAAAGTTAGACAATGTACTGCTGGAAATAAAGTTCTTCGAATAGAAGAGTAATGCAGAACGTTATTCAACTACACTTTATCAAACTCTTGTCGTTTGGTTGCTATTGCGTATGTGTTATTGCGAGTCTTCCTTCTGGGTATTTTCACTCTTCTGGATATTTTTCAGTTCTAAGCGGTCTGCTTTTCCCCCTTTCTATGGTTGATGGCAATAACGTTACTTTAAAATCACATACTTCTAGGCCCACTACTTGATGAACATTCTAGTATGTAATCTTCCTCGCTACAACTGCAATTTGACATGGTCAAGATCTTTTTGGTTAATAACACAGGCTGAGGTATTTGAATCTTATTTAGAATGAAAAAACGAAGTTACAAATTAAAAATGTTATTTATCATTTCCCTCTACAGTAATACAGTATACAGTACTACTTAACGTTTAGTTCAAGCATGTACTAGTATTTCAGACACATCCTGTAATTACGGTGATATATAGTTATATAATCATGCATAGTCATTGTTACATATTGCTTCACTTTTGCATTTCGAAATTATTTGTTAACCTGTAAAGTCATCTAAATTAAAGCAGTGATGAAATATTCTCCACATCATTTTAATCTGGTCGTCACCAAACAGCCGTCACTTTTATTGGAACAAGAATCTTGAAAATCAATGTAACTTCACCGGTAGTTTCGTCTAAGGCTTTCTACCTGCCAGATGGAAAGTGTTAAAAATCACGCTAGGGAGGATAATTCTGAGAAATGCCTTTAATTTTGTGCATAATGGCAAGCTGAATGTTGCATATTAACTTAATAAATTACCATTTATTCGAAAGAAAATATGACGAATAATGTGATATTACCTGTCGCGTGAAATAAAGCTTGATTTATTGTTATAACATAATGCTGATGCCCTTGTATTTTTTTAATGGTCTGACCCTTTATTTAATACTTACAGAAACACCCAATAGGCGGCCATCGTTACCTCCTATGAAAGGACGAAAGGTTGTTACTTTACCTTCTTAGGGATTCGAACCCGGACCCATTGCTACGGCGGTCAGAGTCACTAACCACTATATCGGCTGGAGGGGGTTACTTTCTTTACTTTGTTTTTCTAAATAGCTGCTAAAGAGCGTTTGCTTTTAGATATCCGATAAATTTTACTTTTAGTTTTATTTATTTATGTTTTGAGTGCAGCAAAGTACACGAGAGGTGTTTGTGCTAGTTGAAGACATGCCTTTCTAAGGGAAATTGTCTCTCAGTTATGTTAAATATAGAAAAAACCAAGAGACATCCATGCAACCTATGCTTGAGCTAAAAAAGAGGGTTTCTTAGCGTTTTGAGATTGAAAAGAAAAAGGTAATAGAGAATTTTTCTTATTAATTAATTATAGCGGCTTAATAATTGAAAGGTATGTATAAAAATATAAGACCTTCCAGTTAGAATTATATAATTAGATATAAATTATAATGAAAACATTAATTAGGTATGAAAGATGAACTTTCAGCGTTTTTATTATAAGCTAATGTATAAATGACGGTAACTTAGTTTTTTTTAAAAGCATTCCACGAGTACCGTAAATGTAAATGAGAATCCTAAACTTAATAACTTGCATTCTAATTAAGCAGTGTTTAGTGCATTAAAAGCTCCACAAAGGTACGAATAAAAAACATGGGCAACAATGAATTAAGATTGATCTTAAATATTTATATTAATAGCTCAGTTTTGCTTTTGAAAGATCACTTTAGATTTCATATCAGAATAGAATAATCAGAAACATGTCAGAAACTTTAGAAACATATCAGAATATTTTCTTATAATTAACGCAGAAAGGGTTAATATAAGAAATGCATGGTGATCGTTTGCAGTGTAAACTGTAACCATTCGAAGGTGAATTTTATTACTTTTAAATCTGAAATGATTTATGAGTTTATATTTACTAATCTAATAGCAATTACCAATAAACTAATGGTTTTTTCCTGGGATTATTAATTATTAAGATATAGGGGTATTAGAAGACAAACTCCTGATTAATTAATAATTATTTTGCAACTTATTTATTTAAGAGTTTTATTGAATATTATTAATGAATTTATTTTATAGCTACCTTATTTAACATATTTTTCATGCAAGTAAGTCAATGTTTGCAACATTGACTAAATTTCAAGACGCGAATGTTTTTTTAGCGTATTTTGTTTAAATAATATCTTACGCTTCAGAAGAAATGATCTGAGACTGACGCTGTGCCTACTTCGCTACCGAATTTTAGTATAAATGATATATAAAAGTAAATGATTATGAAGTATGTACACTTTACGAATTTGCTAAAACATCAAAGACATAGCATTATGAATGTCCGCTTCGATACCAAATGACAGAAGATAATTCTGAACTATTATATTTATTATCTGTTCATCTATCTATTTATTTATTTGTTTAATATATATTTTAACATTAACATGAAATTATTATGTAAATTAACATGTATTAACAATAGGAATATTATTATGTGTCCGAGAAAATTCTCTAACCAAAATTATGCTATGAATTATGTTAATGGGAATACAGTTATTGTATGGAATGTATCTGTAAACCAGCCACAATATGGCAATGTAAAAATTTAAAGATTAATAATAAATACTAGACAAAGGCGAACGTGGGCCGAACCGATTAACCGTAATGGTGCCCACGTCCTCCGTTACCACTGCTTAAGTATGTAATTGTTATATAAATCATACAGATTAGATAGATGCACTGATTTCAAATCGTTCAGTTTGTTAAGCAGTTAAAGTTATATTCTAAAGATGGAGATTTTACGAAACGGATATACGGCAACATTCTGAGAATTGGCTACTTGCCATTAGGCGTGGAGAATGAATTAAAAAATCTTACGCCTCCTGTAGTGGCAGCACTTGCCAAGCACGTGTCTGGTAACATAATGTGACGTAATGTGAGGTGTTTTTTTTTCCCGTTTTTTTGCTATGAATTAAACAAACAAAAATCACATTTCATAAGACTATAAAACATAAATAACAAGCAAAAGTATAATTGTGATATAAAATGCTTAATTAAATTACTGCTTAAAATGCATGCACGTGTTTGAAATGCCAAAAACCACAGCTTTCATAATAGACCTTAAGAAAAATCATTGTTTGATTAATATTTTAATGAGTACCAAGCTTTTAGTAAGAAAAGAAGATTGGTGACAAAGTTTTATGGTACAAAATTACTATTAACCAATGCATTTTGAATAATTGATTTGTTAACTAATTTTTTACTAAAAATTCTTACTTGAAGTCTTTAAATAAAAACAATATTATTCCTTTTAGATAATTATTATCCAATATTTCTTTAGATTATAATAAATTATAATTTAACAGCTAGTTGATAGCACTTTGCCAATCAACAAACCACAACTGACTTTACAAAGTAATGCTAAATTTTTAACAAATATAAGTGGCTTTTATGTCACCGGAGTAGTTTATGATTATAGCATGTAAAATCGCTTTTCCTTGATGCCATCAGTATGTTATTATCTAAGATAAAGAAAGGAAAGGGTTAAGTAATGACGCAGAATTCTAAAAAAATATTATACATCCTTGTGTGGCGACTTATATTATCTGAAAAAAAAATGAAAGAATCACCCACCTCCTGTGCAGGCGGCGAGAGGGAACGCAAGCACACTAAGTTCATAATCCCATGAAACTTTAATTCCTGGAGGCCTATTCGCTGGTCACCGAAGACACAGAATTGGAGATTTTCCAGAGCCCCAAATGGATACTCTGAACGAACTCCCCGAGAGCTTGGAGGTCTGTCTGTTCCTTGCATAGTGCGTCCTCCCTTCGATGCAGAGTTACGGTCACGGTAGGATGAGTACCGTCCAAACCTCCCCTTTCCGAAACAGAGCATTCGTTCAAGAAAACAAGAAGCCTCGATGGAAGCCCAGAAATGAAGGAGGAGGAGGAGAAGGAGGATCGGAAAAAGAGGAAAAAAAATGATGATGATGATTCTGTGACCGACACGCTTCGTGCAGATGAAGGAGCGAATTCTTGCTATGTCCCCAACTTTTCCTCCCTATATTCCCCTTCTGCTTTTTCTTTCCTTTGCAAGGGTAAAGTTTCAGTTTACGAAACCGCAAAATGCGCAGATGTTTTTACTTTGCTGTGGACTACTTGGAAAAGCTCAAAGAATTGAACTTCTTCTTAGTCGGAACGGTTCCAAAAGTATGTTCGGTGTCTTGTTCGTCTATATTTCCATCTTATGTCCGGAAATCTTAACAAGTGAATTAATATGCTGCTTCTTTGGACTGCGATTTTCTAAGGTTTTAGAATGGTTTCTGAAGCCCCCTCCCTCCTGATTGATGGAAGAATTGTAACACTGAAGAGGATAAATGAATAAATCCTTAGAAAAACATTTTGCATGTTTAACCCTAAGGTACTTAAGAGTTATTGCATTTTCAAGCGCATGTTCTCGTTTCATAAGTAGTTAACTTGTCCAGCTATCATAGTATTGGAAGTTCGGGTAGTTTCAAACCCGGAAAAGACAGTTGATTTTGAACTTTAAAGTTATTGATGCACGTAAAGATGCAGAAAGTCATTGCCTAAAAAAGACATTTATTTCGAATTACGGATTTTTGGCTGTAGATAGGAAAAAAAAGGTCCTTTTAAAGTTATTAGAAATGACCAATTTTGAAGAATCAAGGATTCAAACTGAGCCGGCCAGGCGGTATAGTGGTTAGAGGAGCCTGTGGTATCAAAAGGCTTGGGTTCGAATCCTAGAGAAGTCATGGCTGTAACTGTCCGTCACTTCATAGGAGGCCATGGGTCAAACCCATTAGATGCCTCCATAATAAAGAGACCACCACATCTTGCCTTAGTATAGATTAATGAACTGTTACAAAAAACTGTAACTGTTCACGATCTTCCTCTGAAAAAAAAAATGATTCAAACTGTTTTCTTTCGTACCATTTTTTTTTTTTTTTTTTTCTTCAAATCGAGTTTATATTTAAGCAAAGTTCAGATCTTGAGATTTCATCAATCTTGAGAGATTTCAGCACTTTTTGAACGTCCGATGCACAAAAACGCTTTCATGCGTCACAGATGAGACAGCGATTTGCGCACGTGTTGCGTAGGTATGCGATGAAGATTCCTGTTGTCTTTACTCGTATCCAACGACTGTTTTAAAATGATTGCTTTCTTCTTGAGAGGCTTCCGATGGCATGATTTAACATTTTAGAAATAGTGCAGTTCTTATCTGTGCATTGCCAAAACTAAGAATGGCAAGGAAGTGAAATAGAGATGTTTTCAGTAATGCTATAGGCTAATGAGGCATCAAACTTTGAAAAAATATACAAAGCATGTAGGAAACAAAAGTTAAATCTGAAAAATGCATTGAAATGCCTCCAGATGCAGAGGAAGCAATAAAATGTAAAAGGTAAAGATACCCTGCAAAAATGAATTATCAGTCAAGAAAAACAGAGTTAAATGAATTTTAACTAGATAATAGAAATTTTGAGAGTACCGTAATACTAATTTAATTCTTATGTTTACACTATTTCTAAAGCTTTGAATCAAATTTCTTCTAAGCAGGAACTTGTCTAAATGAAGACTGTTTTATTTTTCTGTTATTTACTCATTAATGTACCGTATTTTCCTTAATTTTAAAATGCAATTTAGAAAGTCAGTTAAATCGCTTTTAATGAATAATAATTTAGGTAGAATTTTCTTTTGAACAATCTTTTCTCTTAAAATTCTTTCTGAATTAAAACTTCTTTCTGAATTAAAACTGACGTCATGTTTTTCCAGCAAAAAAGTTTTCTTCGGGCGCTTAGATCGAACTTTGGCCTTTTTTTTATGTTCTTTACATGTTCATTATTTATGTTCTATTTTCATACTCCATTCCAAGTTGGCAGAAGCTTGCAATTTGTGAATTCGCCGGGAATGGCTTAATCCATCGGTCGAACCATGTCTTCATGAAGGGTGTTATGCAGGGACAGACGATATTATCCTCGCGAAAAGGAGGGAAGGATTAAACACAGTAGCTTGGATGTCGAGCCCACACCATTTCTTTCAGATTGGTGCTTTTTTTAAATGAACGGCGCTTTATTTATTAGACATTAGCCTTGCGCCATGACAAGGTCCGGAAGTGGTGAACGGAAGCATTTCATACGGAAGCACCTAACAGGTGGCGTCCATTGGCTTCTATGAAGGGGACGGACAAGTTACAACCATGCTTTCTCCTGGATTCGAACGCGGGTCATCGCTACGGCAGTCAAGTTCACTAACCGCTGTACCGGTTGGGCGACTTTCGGATTAGTATAATTTAATCATAATTGTTGAATGGGGAGTTAATATAATATAACATTATTGTTTGAATAACGCATAATTAACAGCCTAACATTATAAATTACAAATTTTTTGTGAAGATGCATATTCTTTTGCAACTATTGTTTTTGAAAATGAAAATTCTGCATCGCTCAAAAACAAGATAAATGTATTGAAATTAAGCCTTTCAGCCTAATGTTATGTTCTAATGCATATATACTTCGTCAGTAGCAAGAGTGTATTAAAAATAGCATACTTTCCTTTATTACTGAAAAGAGTGTCGAAGACTAAGTTTTTAAATTTTTATTGAAAGGGTATTGCTACCTCTTAATTTAACTCTATTACCTCGTAATGCTCTAATATGTATTTTTATTTATTAATAAAAGTGCATATTAGAGCTCTTTCTTTAACAAGGGAAGAGAAGATGGAACCAAGACATTAAATCTTTAAACGAATGAACCGTTGTCTAAGAGGGTGACTGAAAATAAACACTGAAACTTCAAGTAAATATAGAAAGACATTCTTATTATGGAAGTTATTATCTCAATATATCTCTATTTTATTAAAATGTTCTGATGGTCCTGACAACGACGTAATTCAGGGTATTGATATACACTGGTGTGCAAAAATTAAGGACGAGACGGTTTTTTCAATATAACTTTGTACAAAAGCTTTCCAAATCAACACATTTAATACCATAAGATCCCCAATACGTAAGGACATGAGTAATGTCAGCAACACTTACTAAAAGAGAAATCAGAGGGATAAAAAGAAGCTTTATTGAAAAAGTAGCATGGAGCGCAATGCGACTGAAGGCCGAACATCCCTGTGATGGGTGTCCAGCAAGAAACATCCGGTCTTTAATAGGGGATATGATCGCCCTTGACTGCTAGGCAGGTTTCACAGCGTCTGTCCATGCTGAGAATGAGGGTGTCAATGAGTTGTTGAGGCATTGCTGCCCATTCGCCTTGCAGCGCCAATCGAAGCTCCGGAATCGTTACTGGTGGTAAGGTACGAGCTGCCAAGCGTCTGCCTAGAAAATCCCATACATGCTCGATGGGATTGAGATCCGGAGATCGTGCAGGCCAATCCATACGTTCAATATCCTCACTCTCTAAGAACTGTTTGGCAGCTACTGTGCGATGACATGGTGCATTGTCGTCCATGAAAAGGAACTGCGGACCCATAGCGCCTCTAAAAGACGCGCATGTGGAAGAAGAATCTCGTTCCAATAACGGGTCCCGTTGACTGAACCTGCGTCGAAGATGTGAAGGTCTGTACGACTACCTAGCATGATGCCTCCCCAAACGAGAACACCGCCACCTCCATACCTGTCCCTTTCAATGATGTCCGAGGGATGATTGCGGCTTCCCCGCTCTCTCCAGATGAGTATGCGATGAGAATCGCTACTCAGACTGAATCTGCTCTCATCTGTAAAGAGTACTCGTCCCCATTCATTGTCTCTCCAATTCCGGTGTTCCCGGCACCACAGAGAACGCCTTCTCCGATGGGCAGGCGTTAGAGGTACACACGTACAGGGCGTCGTGCAAACAGACCACCATCGTGCAGTCTTCTGGCCACGGTAAAACGCGATATTGTTCGTCCAGTCGCCTGTGTCGGGTGTCTAGGGATTTCTCCCGCTGTCTGCCGCCTGTTTCTTCTGGCCTGTAAGGCAATATACCGGTCATCTGCGGGTGTGGTTCCTCGGGGATGACCACTACTAAACCCCCGGATAGCTGTTCCTGTAGTTTGAAATTGTCTCCAAAGTCGTGAAACGATGCTGTGAGCAATTCCGAACTCTGCAGCCACACTTGTCACACTGCGGCCTTCCTCCAACTTCCCAATGATTCGACCTCGGGTAAAAGCATCCAGATGTCGTCTAGCAGATTGATTATTCGCCATTTCTCGCTGAGGCAGCAACTCAGTGTGATTTTAACTGCTATACGGCGTGCAATCTCTTTGCCAGAAATACTGATCTTACACCGACAACATGCTTTATACTACTCAGACACTCCCCCATTACGTCTACCTGCATATCTGCGCATGTGCTACCGTACATCACCTTATTTAATCTCCTCATTGGTCTTTCTGTCCGCTCTGCCTCTTCGTTCAGCTGATATGCTAATTTTTCGACTTCGTCCTTAATTTTTGCACACCGGTGTATTATTTTCGATTTAATTAAAATGATAATTAACAAAGAAAGCTTATCTTTTTTTTACCTGGATTAAAATTAAACTGAAAAATACTTCTTCATTGACTTTCTTAAAGAATATATGAATTTAAAAGCTGTAATTTGTACTGTCTTCTACTTTTTGGATTAAAAATAAAAGTTTAAACCACAAATTTTGCATTTATAATTATTTTAAGATTAAAATTATAAGTTAAGATATTTTGTCTCAAAAGGAATAAAAATCAACATTTAAATATAAATTCAGGTTATATTTTTTATTTAAAATATCTGAGATGTTATAAATATACTGCTTTTCAAATGAGATTCTGGAATGTATCTGCAAGTTAAATAAATGTGCCTTACCGTGGAAAAACAGTTATATTCTTTTCCACCAATTTTCTAAATGT